GCAGAAAAGGACTTGGGGATTACAGTGGATGAGAAGCTGGATATGAGTCAACAGTGTGCCCTTGTAGCCAAGAAGGCTAATGGCATATTAGGGTGCATTAGGAGGAGCATTGCCAGCAGATCCAGAGATGTCATCATTCCCCTTTATTCAGCTCTGGTGAGGCACATCTGGAGTATTGTGTCCAGTTCTGGGCCCCCCACTGTAGATATGTGGATGCATTGGAGAGGGTCCAGCAGAGGGCAACCAAAATTATAAGGGGGCTGAGGGGGGATTTTATAGCAGCCTTCAACTTCCTGAAGGGAGGTTCCAAAGAGTATGGAGAGAGGTTGTTCACAGTAGTTACGGATGGCAGTACAAGGAACAGTGGTCTCAAGTTGCAGTGGGAGAGGTCTAGGTTGGATATTAGGAAAAACTATTTCACTAGCAGGGTGGTGAAGCACTGGAACGGGTTACCTAGGGAGGTGTTGGAATCTCCATCCCTAGAGGTTTTTAAGTCACGACTTGACAGAGCCCTGGTGGGTTGATTTAGTTGGGATTGGTGCTGCCTTGGCAGGGGGCTGTACTTGATGATCTCCTGAGGTCTCTTCCAGCTCTATGATTCTATGAGGAGGAAGGCCAGGTCTCAGATGATCAGGGTGACACTCAGCTGCCTCCCCTGAGGAGGCTATAGTACCCGAGGACGCACATACCACCGACAACTAGACGCAATTTCAAAATCTTTTAAAAAGGGTAGCTACTACCCAGGAATTGAAGCTTGAAGAGGTGAAGGAGAAACAACAGTGTCTCCCAAAGCACCTTCCTCCCAAGGCAGGATTGCACTGCTCATAGATGAAGCTATCATGGAGGTGTTCGATGACATCTGGCGGACACTTGCATCAACCCAACCAATCAGTAAAAAGGCGGACCAGAAGTATTTTGTTTCCTCCCTCTCTTCCCCGCCCCCGCAAAGAATTGGACTTTTCCCAACCTTGGCCAAACTCCAACATGCAGGAGGACATCATGCCTGCATGTCTCAGGGGTCCCTAAAGAACTCCAAAACAAGGTGGAGGATCTCCCATTCAACAAGCATGAGCTCTATGCACCCAACACCTATGAGATCCTACATGGCAGCAAGAACTCATGTACCAATCTGTGCACCTTAGGCATGTACACACCAGCTTACAGACAGAAGCGCTACTCCCACTATAATAGGAACAAGGACACATATTACAACAGTCCTCAAAACAAGCCATACAAATACAATCATTCCAGACAACACAACCAGAGGAAGTGCCCACAACACCCACACTCCCCCTGGTGTCCAGGCCCCTAAACAACACATTTGAAATGTTGGTTGAGGGTCTGCCTGACCTCTCCAATTATCCTGTGCAACAAAACCAGACATATTTATTTGACCACAGGCTACATCCATGCCTCCATCATTGGGATTCAATTATATCCAACCAGTGGATTATGCAAATCATCCATATAGGATACACAATCCCGTTCACTTTCTAGTCCCTCTCCAGGGACCCCTCTCATCAGATACCTCTCAAGCAAAAGATCAATCGGCTTCTCCAGCTAGGAGCTATAGAGGAGATCCCCGAGCAGTACCAGAGAAGAGGGTTTTATTTAACTTACTTCCTAACCCAGAAGCACACAGGAGGCTGGAGAGCGATTCTAGACCTCTGCAAACAAAAGAAGTTCCTGCAAAAACAGCACTTCAAGATAGTCACACTAGCTTCAATCATTTTGGCACTGGACAAATGGGACTGGATTGCAGCCCTCAACCTGCAGGACGCATGTTTCCACATCAGGTACATCCTGCCCAAAGATGATATCTAAGATTCATGGGAGGGGGCAATCATTTCCAATACAAGGTCCTTCCCTTCAGCCTATCCTCTGCTCTGCAGGCCTTCTCAAAGGTTCTAGCAGTCGTCGCAGCGTACCTTCAGTGTCAAGGGGTCGTGATCTTCCCATACCTAGACAATTGCCTAATAAAGGGTCGCACAAGAACGGAGTCTGCAGAAATGGTATCAAAGACCAAGCAACTTTTCAGCTTTTTAGGGCTCCATATAAACGAGCAGAAGTTGATTCTCAATCCCATACAAGACTTGGAGTTCATAGGGGTGCCCCTCGACTCCATATCAGCCAGAGCATATCTACCTCAACAAAGATTTGATATGCTATGCAACCTAGTTGCCACTTTACTCGTGAGCCGCTCTATGACTGTCCATACCTGCCTCCAGCTAATGGGCCACATTGTGGCCTCCACTTATGTGGTCTAGTATGCACGCCTACATTTCTGTGCCTTCCAGGTTCCAGCATTGGCTGGCATCAGTCTGTACACCATCGCAGGATCCATTGCACAAGCCTTTTCTTGTGTCTGAGCAAGTGCTGGACTCCCTCAAATGGTGGTCATTCCCCAGCATTCTACTTTCCGGGGTTCCCTTTCTCCAGCTGGAATTGTAACTACAGATCACAACAGATGCCTCACTAATAGTGTGGGGCACACACCGGCACCACCAGACGATAGAGGACAAGTGGTTGCCCCACAAGGCCATACTGCACATCAATCTATCCAAGCTCAGAGCTGTCAGGAATGCATGCGGACACTTTGTCTTAGCCATCACCAATTGTACCATGTGCATACTTATGGACAATACTACCACCATGTTTTACATAAACACGCAGGATGGAGCTCACTCCCGATCCCTTTCTGCAGAGGCTGTCCGGCTCTGGAACTGGTGCATCCAGCACAGAGTCCTTTTAAAAGTAGCATACTTGCCAGGGGTCAACAACATCATGGCGGATGCTCTCAGCTGCAGTTTTGCCAGATCACGAGTGGTAACTCCAGCCAGAGATGACAGATTCCATTTTCTGGGGCTATCCAGTGACCAATCTCTTTGCAGACATGAGCAACACCAAATGCCCTCATTTTTGTTCCCGAGCGGGACTGGGCAGTTATCATGGGGCGATGCGTTCCTAATTCCATGGGATGGACCAATTCACTACGCCTTCCCTGAAGTACCATTGATCCCCAGAATCCTGTGTAAGATTCGCTCAGACTGAGCTTGAATCCTCTTAGTGGCCCCATCCTGGACCAAACAGATCTGGTTCCCGTACCTCCAGCACACATCCATCGAGTCACCATATCCTCTCCCAAAATGCGGGCAAACTACTTCACCCCTATCCTTGAACCTTTCATCTCCATGCCTGGTTCCTGATGGGTTCCATAGTGCTGAATTGGGTTGCTCGGAGCAAGTAAGAACCATCTTTCGTAGCAGGAGGCAATCTACTAGAACAACTTAAATGCAAAAATGGAAGCACTTCTCATCTTGGTGTCATAAGACTCACATTGATCCTGACAAAGCCCCACTCTGTATGGTCTTCGACTATCTTCATGGCTTGAAGAGTGGCAGCCTATCAGTTTCTTCCATTAAAGTACACATGGCAGCCATTGTAGCCTTCCATGACCACATTGAAGGGTCATCAGTTTGTCTGCATCCGGTGACTAGGTTTCTCAAAGGACTCCAAAACCTCTACCCTCCTCTCAGGGCCCCACCACTCTCATGGGACCTAAACCTGGTTCTTGAGTCCCTTATGAGACTTCCCTTCAAATCTATGGCCACATGTCCTCTCCTCCTCCTCACGATGAAGGTATATTTTCTGGTGGCCATCACTTCCGCAAGGAGGGTCAGTGAGATAGGAGCCCTAATGGTGGGCCCACCATACACCATATTTGCTAAAGACAAAGTGACGCTGAGACCACATCCTGCTTTTCTGCCTAAAGCCAGCAACTGTTTTCACATCAATGAGCCCATAGTCTTACCTACATTTTTTCCAAAGCCACACGTATCTCCCAGGCAGACTATGCTCCATACCCTGGACGTCAGAAAGGCTTTGGCTTTTTATATTGACAAAACTCAGGCATTACTCAAGTCCCCACGTCTGTTCGTCTCTGTTGCAAACTATTCCAGGAGCAGCCCAGTATCCACGCAATGCATTTCCAAACTGATATCAGTTTGCGTATTCTAGTGCATTCTGACTTTATATTAAACTTATCCATGCAGTGTGTTGTGTACAAATCTCACTACAGTGTTGCATGTTAATTGGTCTGTATTAGCACTGAGTATTTTAATATGGAGATATACCTCTCATAGAGCTGGAAGGGGCCTTGAGAGGTCATTGAGTCTAGTCTCCTGTTTTCATGGCAGGACCAAGTACCATCCCTGTCAGTGGTACTGCATATTCTAGTGTCAAGCCCTTCACAACAAACTGCTGATGATGCCACCAAGATCACAGTCCACCTGTGCTACAGAAACATCCACAGCATTTCTCAGTAGTGTGCCTGGACAGCTACCTAGTCATCTGACCACACTTTCTCTAAGCATTATGCCATCATGCCTCAGCTGACAGCAGACATAGCAGTGGCTACAGCAGTTCTATCTTCCATTCTTAAGCAGTGACTCTGATTCTCACCAGCCATAGCAAGTACTGCTTTGTAGTCACCTTGCGTGGAGTACCCATGGGGACATCACTCGAAGAAGAAAAAGAAATTACTCATCCTGTGCAGTCACCACTGTTCGTCAAGATGTTTTCCTCCATGGGTGCTCTACAATCCTCCCTTCTTTCCTGCTACTTGGAGTCCGATTGCTCTGCAGTGGGAGAGTCAGGTCGCGTGCAAAGCGTCCAACCGCCAGCAACACAAGGCACATGCTGTGAATGCATGGCCCGACTGCTAACTGCTATGAAAAGCTCCGATTATGTGGCTCCGGGGATGGCCCATCACCTTATGTGGGGGGACACACCTCGGATAATAGTTGTTACTGCACAGGGTAACTTCCTTTTGCTGTGGGGTGTGGTGTTTCTGTTTGTTTTTTTATTTCCAATATTTTTCAGATTATTACCCTGATGACATGTCCAAACTATGAAAAAAGATCCATACTTTATCTACATCTTTTGAGTTTTTATGTATTGAAAATGATTTATGACTCTGTTCCTGTGTTGTTTTATTCCAGAAATTGGCAATAAGAAATTTTATAAATACAGCCAAGAGAAGACATTGATGTGGTTAAAAAAGAAGGTATTGTGTTTCTCTTTTGCTTTAAAAAATGTTTATGTTCAAAATTTAAAATAGTACAGTGTTTCTTTACAAAATGTTAGTAAATTCAAAGTCCATATCCAATTGAACAAGAGCAAACACATCAGTAAAGCTGTCATGTTTTAGAGTATGACAAATATAAAGTGTTAAGGAAATAGAAGATTTCTAGCAGATTTCCTCTTACACTGAACCAGACTCTGTCTGCTCCTTGCACTGGCACAAAAAGGTTCATGATAGCCTGCAATTGCTATTTCCATGCTAGCTCTCAACTCAGGGGCTGCTCTTTGCATTAAAGCATGGAAAGGAGACGAGGCTATGACCGTTTCTCCCTCCCTAGTCCAAACCAGCAGTGCTGGCTAAACATAGAGGGAAGAACATCTTATATATTATTGTGATTTGATGCTACAACTGTGTTCCTCATTAGCTTTTTACATTGGCTCCCCTAATACTTCTAGGGTCATGCAAATATGGGTGCCCATACTCTCTATGCCTAAAATAAATTGTACTCATCAGGTAAGATGTACTTGTGCAAGCTGCTGTACACAAAGAAGATTTTCTTCATTAGAATAGATCTACTGTGCCAGCAATCATCAGACAAAATGATTTGTCAGTCATAAGATATAAGGGAGCCTTGAAAATTATCATTAACATTTACCAGCCTAAGTACAAAAACTACTTCCCACTTTTTGCCATGATCATAGTGTTGCCATACAATAGCATTCTTTTCCGTTAGAGAAAGCACTGGTCTGGGATGAGTAGAATTTTTCTAGGGCTGTTAAAAAGGAAAAATATCACTGCAACAGCCTATACAGATTCACATCTCTGATATTTTAACATTAATGGCCAAATATGTTTTCCTGGGTGCTGTTATATTGTTATGATATTATTGATCTATTGATAAGGTTACGATGTCAGGATATTTTTAGCAAAAGTCATGGACAAAAAATAAAAAATCATGGAATCATATGACCTGTTTGTGACTTGTTAAAAAAATACTCTGGAGGAGGGAGTCTAATAGTTAGAATCCTGCCGAGGGCTGCCGTTCCAACCAAGCTTCTGCTCCTGAGCAGGGAATGATAGTTTCTCTAGCCCTGGGAGCAGACCAAGCCCAGCTGATGCTCCTTCAGTGGGAGGCTGATCACCAGCCACTACTCCAGATCCTGGGCACAGGCTGATAGCTTGTCCAGGCCCAAGGGTTGAAACCAAAGAAGTCACAGAGGTGAGTTAAGGTCATGGATTCTGTGACCTTCAAGACAAAATCAAAGCCTTCTCTAACTATTTTTCTCTTATATTGAATTTGACAATGCCCTACAGAATCCTGGTAATTATATTTCATTTCTATTCAGGACTCTGTTCCCATTTCAATAGAATTGGAAAAACCCTTGCTTTTCTGTGCAGGTATATGAATCATCTGTAAAATCCAAGACTGCTTCAGCTGTAAATTCCAGCCTTTCTCAGTGGAGTTGCAAATCTAGCTGCCATTTTTCAAAGGCAGTAGGCCGAACACCCTGGATCCTTAATTTTTTGAGATCATGTGCTAGTCATTATAGATGTATATTAAGTTTCATCACAGTTCATAACTTCAGCATTTTATGTGCTTTAAACCAAATTACAAGAGCTTTGTCACTGTATAAACACACGTGTGTATAACAGCATTAATTTAGACATTTCAATCTGTGGCTCCCTTATAGGTCAACCAGACAGTGAAAGTACTTAAAAGCAGCAATGTATGTGTAGGTGGAAAGGTGCAATCAGCCACATTTATCAGCCGCAAACAAATAACTGATGTTGAAGAAGGTAAGAAAACCAAGTATAATTTTAATGAAATACATCTTTTTGAAATAAGATACTTGCAGTTTAGATGTTCAGTTACAATCTTAACAGTTTAAATGGTTTGTAAACACTTTGAATTATTTCTTGCCCAAAATGTTTTGGTGTAGTTACTATAATGGTGCCATGACTATTTTGAGTTCTCTGATGCCTAAAACATGGTAATTGTACAGAGAGAAGAGTTCTGAATAGCTTCTAGTGAAAGCTAATTGAGGTGTCAATTCAGCAGACTATCCCTATCCCTATTGGTGTACTTAGAGAACAAATACTTAAATTGGGATTCTATTCCTGGGCAATGATTATGCACAGAGAAAGAGAGATAAAGTGTATCTAATGTTATCTTAGTATATTGTGAGTAGGTATAGGCATAGTTATAGATACATAATATAAATTATGGACTTAATATAATATATTGAATAAACACAATGTAAAGGGGGAATCTCAGAAGTGTCTTTGTGGGCACAATCCTACTGAAAGTCACTATGACTTGTGTTCCTAAATCACGTAGGTGATTTTGAAAATCTCACCCAAAGTGTTAGTATTATTGCTATAATCTAATACAGGGGTTCCCAAACTTTTTGACACAGGGACCAGTAAATCCATTCACAATCATTTGGAGGACCGGTAACATTCATTTGT